TCAAAGGTTAGATTTAGCAACCATTTTAAATATCAAAGTTCATGCATTGCTGTGAAGAGTATCAGTTTGGGAGACACCTCACCAGAAAGAACAGTGAGGTTCAGTTATGTACTAACAGAAACCCCCAAATATTTCAGTAAACTCTACTATGCTGTTACCCCTAGTTTGAAAGCTGTGGATATCTATTTCATATTCTGTTTTTACAGAATGTTTTTTTCAGACAAAGAAAGTAATTAGCTGTGAAATACTCTGGAACACAGTATCAATTTAGCTACTCTGTCATTAATTTAGTGTATATGAACATGTTGGAGATTCATTAACAACTTTTCTCTCAATTTCAATTTAGTAAGACTTAACAGAAATATAGCTGACACTGAAAGGAAATTAAAGAATCCTCATTAATCTGTCAGAGATGTTTACAGTCCACACAGCTTTTGTGATTTATTCTTTGTGTCTTCTTATCCAGTACAGTTTCCTCCTGACCTAATGGTAGGTTGCTGAAGTCCTTCCTATCAGTGCTTTTGTATGGATTATAGAAAAAAAAAAACAGTCATAAAAAATGTCAATAACAATTTTAAGCTATTTACTAACACACAGTGTGTATAGTAATGCAAACTCATTTGTTCAGCTAAGTAAACTAGCAAGCACAATATAGAGATTGCTATCAGGAAGTTAAAAATGTCTTGTAGTGTCAAAGCTCTGTTTTTAAACTTACAAGGCAATTTAGTATTAGGATGAACAGATGCAGATCTCTTTCAGGTGCTTACAGATTCAATACAACTTTCTGTTACGTTTTGGATGGAAGGCAATTGTTTTAAAAAAACTTCTTTCTCTCTCAAAATTAAGTGGACTTTGCTTGATAAAATGTGCATTTTTGTCCTGGTGTGAAATTGGGTATATTCTTTTTATTATTATTTAAAAAATAATTAAGCCAACTGTATCCATGACACTGAAGACAAAAAGCCTCACTGAACTTGGAAAAAAATACTTCCCAGTTATTGAATATGGAACAAGCTTTATTACATATAACCTCACAACAGGAAAGTTATGTATTTAGCTATATTGGTTACCAAAAACATCAAGATCGAGTTCTATTTTATTTTTTCAATTACTATGGATTGGTTTACCTAAGAAAAAAGCGAAGCTTTTGTCAAACTTCCATCCCTGTAATCTGAACATGGGATATAAGATTTTGGGCTCAGATAGCATCAATAGCATTCTTCATTAAGTTCTAATTTGCATATAAAAGCACACATGTTATGAAATACTTACAAATTTCGATTAAAATTTAGGAGCCAAAATAGAAGCGTGAAAACTAAGTATTTTCTTGAATCTAGGTCTAAATGTGGAACCAAATTTTGCTTTCTTTACCATCTCTGTCATCTTTTTGCCTTCAAGTTAGTGTTATTAGCTAATAGTGGCAATCTAATTTCCAGCAGAACTACAAGCCCTAATACATTCACATAAGTGTCCTAGGAATTACTGCTTTCTCAGCAACCTATCCCATCTTCCAGCCCCCAGACAAGATTAACTTAGTCCAGGCTAACCTCTCTTGCACCTCCCAGTGCTGATGGCTCAATAAAGTCCTCAGTGTTCAGGTTTTTCTTGTAATGATCTGAATCTTCTTTCCTGCAGTGTGAGATAACATGTCACTTCATCAGCACGTAGTATTGGGCCGGTCTTTGCAACAGCTTGTGTGTAAAGATGATTATCACAGCACCACCCCTCTTCACTCGGGATGACTGACTAGTTGACAAATTCCCTGTAGCACATGATCTGAATCTCTCAACCTTCAGCACTACGTATTTGTAGTTCACATCTTTTCCACATCTGAGAATGAGAAGAATGTAGTATCTTCTCTGCAGCTAAGGCTGCTTACCTTTCCCAGACTTCTCTTTAAGCTAACAAACTCCTTCTCTCCAGTATTTTCAGAATTCAGGCTTAGTAGGTTTGATTTCATTGCTGTAATCCATCCAGACTTCGGTTAGTGCAGTTAGAACTTCCTTCTTGAAGCGCCGTCCTAAAACTGGACATAGAATTCCAGCTGGAGCTTTAGTGGTTCCACGCAAAGCAGGATCGCCTCACGTCTTACCATTGTGTGGTTGGACATCCCAGAATGGTGGTTCTCCTTTCAGCAAAAGCACAGTGCTATTGGCAAATACTTAGCTTGGGATTCACTGTAATTCCCAAGTAATTTCTGCAGAACTGCTGTGTAACCAGTGGTTTTCCAGCCTGAGTATATGCAGTTGATAATACAGTGCTGGGTTTGTCTCTACTTTGTTGCATCCTGGGTTGGTTGGGGTTTGTTTGTTTGTTTGTTTTGTTTGTTTTTTTTTAAATTGTTATTTTTGCTGGGTTTTTTTGTGGGTTTGCTTGTTTGCTTGTTTGGGGTTTTGTTGTTTTGGTTTTTTTGGTGGTTTGGGGTTTTTTTGATATTTATTTTTTTTTTGTGGTTTTAGAACGTGTGTCCTGTTTCTCACAATCATTCTTAGCTCTTAAATCTTGTTCTCTCAAGCAAGTGGCGATTCTCCCAGCTTTTGAGAAAGCGGAAACAAAGCTCACCTTGAGTTCTTCCCCACTATGTCAGCATGAAACCGCACAGGAAGAAAACATCTGAACTACAAACCGCAAAGAAGGTGACACCCGCACCTTGCAATCAAGCACAAAAGGATCTCTGCTGATCAGTGCCCACTCTAAGAGAGTCATACATCAAACTTTTCAATGTTAAATAAATTAACTGTATTTCTATAACCTCAATGAAAACTGCTTGGAACAGGTATGATTTTTTTTCAAATATTTTTGTATATATATATATATTATTTAGAAAGTATGAAGCTATGAGAACGTCGATTGCTTATTTTGAGTTACAGAAGTGCAAAGTAAAAATTGCGGTGCCTGTGAAACGACCACAGAAACGTGGCTGCTCTCACGCTTGCTGTTAACAACGGCATGTAAGGAATGACGCACAAACGCCACCCCAGGAGCGCGACCTGAGCGGGTTTCCTGGCAAGCCCTTAACGCTGCATCTTGGGCTGCAATTACATCTAACCTGGAAACGAACAGAAACACGCACCGACCCCGCAGAGCCCGGACCCCCGGGACCCCCCCCCCAGGGCGGGCTGAGCCCCGCAGCCCCCCCCGGAGCACCACTGCGCATGCGCGGGGCGGTGGCGGCGTGCCGGCGGGAGGGAGGGGGAGGGGGGG